ATCCCATTAATTTGGACTGTAAATACCTTTAGGTGTGGCATAAAGTGCAGTATGATTTGAATGTTTTAATTTTTCTTCAGATATGGCGAGATAACTTGAGGAACTGAATCTATAAACCAACCAGACAGGCAAAATGAACACTGCAAGCATCTCTGAGGTGGATGTGAAGATAAGGGATATGTGTAATTGTGCACTAACCAAAATTCCTATGCACATTTAAGTAACTAGAGGTTTTTGAGTATCACTCCAATCGCCATTCAAGAGTAAACTCACCGGCCACATCAAGGAAAAGGTTTTGCCTTGACATGGCAGTTGAGCTTACACTTGAACGGTCATGGAGTGATACTAAAAAGCCTCCAGTTATTTAAATGTTCTTAGGGATATGGGATAGTGTGCAAGTAACTTTTTTGTTTTTGTTTGTATTGGGGCTGATCTGTGCTATGGTCAATGCTGCCATTCAGAGGTAGTGGGAGTTTGAGTGCAGGACTGAATTGAGTATGTATATGTGTAATTGTACCTCAATAATTTTAGGCCTCAATGCTGTTGTGAATGAAATTTGAAGCCAAGTCTTATCCACAGTCTCTTTAAGGAGACTCTGGTTGTAACCATGATCTTATCACCAAAAAATACAACTTTAGGGGTTCATAAAATGGCGCTCTGAGTGGGTCTTAACAAACAAGCACCTTTCTCTTTATAGGAGTTCTATGTTATTTCCATATATCAGCATTGTTGATAAACTTTAGATTTAATAAATTGAATTGGCAGTAAAAAAGAAAAAAAAAACCTTCAATAGTAACACAGGAATAAAGTTAATAATGCAGTCATAAGCGAAGAGTGCTAAAATATTTACTTCATGGCTTTACGGCCTATGCATTCATAACATTCACAAGGCCAGCCAGTATGGGCTCTGTGGAGAGATTCATTATTCTGCATGGTGATGGGCCAAGGTCTGGTTCGTAGTTACAATTCCAGGCACATCACTGACTTGCAGCTTCACAGCAGTTGGATTGGAAATATAATATAATGGATAGATTTTTTTCCAGTAGAAGAAAAAATAAATAACAATGTGTGTCTTTTTAGTGAATGAAAACATATTTATCTTTAATTTTTTTTATTTAATAATGTTGAGTCTAATAATGTGAAATAATTGTATGATGAGTCACGTGTTTGTATGAAGAGGTAATGCTGGGGTGTAATGATTCTCAGCATTTGCTAGTAGCCAAAACAAACACTATTATTTAGCAAATTCATGTTTGTCCTTATAATTTGCTTTGCTGTATTGTTTAAGAAATATGAGGCCCCTTGAACAATACTTTGTTGTTCAAGTGGGTGTATAAGGATTTAAAGAGACATCATACTCCAAAATATATAAGCAAAATTACAAGATTTTGTTTTCTGAAGTAATCTTTGCTTCATAATGCCTAGAAACTGGAAGAAACAATTAGCAGACATTTTGCTAGGAGCTGCCATCTTACCTTCTAAGCAGACTTCAAAAGAAACTTTCATTAGCTAATTTCTTCGTAAAGTCATGCACAACCTGTGAATTTCTTAATATCAGTTAGTTTTTTAGGTTGTTTTTTTTCAGTCTAAAGCAGTAATTACAAATATACAAATCATGATTTACTATAAAAACCAACTTCCATTCAGCCATTAAAAAGGAAATTTGCATTATAAAGACTGTGTCAAGTTAATTAAGTATGGTTTAATTATATGCATAATTTGCCTTTAAAGATACTTTTTAATTTGTTACATATATGTATATACACATATACACAGTGCATAATAAAGAGTTTATTGACCCCACATACTAAAATTAACAAACCGGTGAGTAAGGTAGAGGTATGTTAAGTGCACTAAAGAGGTTCCATTTCAATACAGATGGATTTTTAACTACTAAAAGAATTTTGGAGCACTGATAAAGGAACTGCAAATTTTAGACCAAGAGAGTCGACTTCATGTTTCTTCTTTTTCAGTTGTGCTATGTGGCTTATAATGTCTTGTTTAATGAATAATTTTCACATTCCAATGCATTCATTTTATTAAAAGAGTAAAGAAGCAAGCCAATGAGTAAGAAAGAAACAGAAAAATATCCAAGGGTCCATAACACCATTATTGATGATGCACTGGAAGGGGTTGCAGGCAATATTATAGATAATGAAATATACAGACACAAACCATGAGCTAATAGTTTGCAGATAAGTGATATGTGTAATGTTTAAAAAGGTTTACAGAAAGTGAAATAACTGGCGAGTTTACAATTTGAAGGAAATCACAGAGGAGAAGATAAAATGCAGTGAAGAAAAATGGAAGCTAAAAAAATAGAAACATTGAGTGTGATGGCAGATAAGAACCATTTGGCCCATCTAGTCTGCCCAATAATTATTAAGAAGATCAAAAATTCATTAAAGTATTAATTAATTATTTCAGAAAGAAGGATAATCATGCTCTGCAGTGAAGGAAAAGATGAGGAGGTGGAGATTAGGCAGGATTGTGGGTAGGTGGTTGCAGAATTTTTGAAATATGCGGTAGAGCTGGACTTCAGGGAGCAGTGGACATAAAGGTGCACCTGGGAGTGTATTTGCGATGGGGGTAATGTGAAAGAATATTAGAAGGCATATAGAGCTAAAATTCACAAACATCAGTTGAGCATCTCTGATTCTCTGTTTTGGGGCAGAGGTTACATGGAAACAGGCTTAGGCTCCAAATATGTAATACGCGGAAAATAATTTGCAAGGGAATATATTGCTATATAGACCCAAGTCATGCCTGAATAGAGTGCATGAGTATCAAAAAAAAAAAACATTGACAACTCCACCAAAAGGGACCCACACATTGACTATCATTACAAGATGCCTGTCGGCACCGACAAAACCCAAGTCCCTATCCCTATGCTATAAGACCCTTCTAAGCCACACACCACCACATGCTTTTAACTATGTAAAACAATGGGGGAAAGAGGATATACCCGAACTCACTGATAGCCAATGGCTCCAGTCATTGAATGCTCTAAGAGGCCTCACATCTTGCTTCTCTCATGTGGAGGCACACAAAAAAGTGATATACCGGTGGTACCTTACCCCACAAAGACTACATCAAATATATCCTACAGTAGACTCCAAATGTTGGAGATGCGGCTTAAAGGAGGGGACCATGACCCACATCTGGTGGGAATGTAGAGAGATCAAACCCCTGTGGTCACATGCACAACAACTGTTAGAAAAAACACTAGGGTACAAGGTTGACCTAACACCGATGGTGGTGATCCTATTGCTTTTCCCACCCACATGGAAAAAAGGAGCCAAGAAACTGGCCTCCACTATCATATTAGCGGCTAGAAACCTCATTGCTCTACATTGGCGGAGCGTATACTGCCCAACACACAAAGAACTACTGAACAAGATATACCAATTTTATAGATATGAAGTACTTTCCTCAGATTCCCATGCAAAAACACGGCTCACGGAACAGCTGTGGGAACCATGGCTTTCACTGATACACCACCATCCACCATAACCTAACTAGACCAATGCGGAAAGCTGATTAGACAAGACGAACCATCCCTAAAGAAACAACCCACATACACTGTAAGAGACAATACCATATGACCCAGACTTGGGACACGCAATACCTAAATAGGATGATGTATATATGTCTGTATGACTATTTAGAATGGCGTAGATATCTAAAGATGTACAATTGTAAACTGCTTACTGAACGTTTATGTTCTCAATGTGGTATATTCATCCATGTCAACCTCATTATGTATGTGTATCAATGTCGACCATATGTATGTTACAAAACGAAGAATAAGATGTCTTGACCGAGACGTTTCCCCCCCTCCCTTTCTTTTTTTCTGTACCCTCAATTTCCTTTTCTGAAAATAAAAATTTTCAAATTCAAAAAAAAAAAAACATTGGGAAAACTCTTCTTCCTTGCAACATACAATTAACGATCGATTGTTAGGAAGGCTGAACTTTATGGACGCAAGTCTCTTTTCAGCTATGTAACTATGTAATGATTGTATCCCTTCATTTGATATGAAGTTAAAGTAAAAGATAAAAAGTAAGACTTTTCCCCTCCCCTTTTTTCCTTCACGTCATAATGTTTATCTTTATAAAGAAGAAGAATTGTAAGTTTATTCCAGATAGAGTTTTGCTTTCATGGGGCTTGTGCTTAAGCGTCCCTATTGTTTGTTAATTGCAGACAAGCTTTTCCTGATGGGTTTCACCCTTGTAGCTTTCTCCGAATGTAAGTGTGATTCTCATCATATTGTTTTCTATATTGTTCAGTATCGATTGTATGCCGAAGGTCAAGAGCACTGCTCAACATATATTGGATGCACAGCTGGAGTTGCAACCAATGGTGAGACACATAAACAACAAAAAGTTTCCATCTGAAATAACGACATATTTTAGGCCAAAGATCAGGGACCATCATTAGCAATGAGAAAATAAACTGCTTTAGGATAATAATTAATATGTTACTAATTATAGGATGTTTGATGACAGCATGAGGACAGCACTTGATGCATCTCACAATAGTCAGTGTCAGTCATATTCCACCACCCAGAGCGCTAATAGTATTCATAGCGTGTGGGTCTGATAATCAGATTCCAAAATCCGATCCCTTCTAAATAACAAGCCCACAGTGTACTGCTCCATATTCACTCGCTCACTGTCTTTCCACGATCAGGTCTATAAATACGAACGCTGGGAAATTAAGATACGGCTGTCAGGGCTGTGTTTTACAGTGCACCCCCACATCATGCCAGATATATGGAATCTTTGTCAGAGCTTCATGGCATTCCTTTCATTAGCATGACATTATAGTTACATAGCTACGCACATTGTTACATCTCATCATAGAGACTGAAAGTACAGATTAGTTTATCAAGCAGTTTAAAGTTAATTTGCCCAAAGAAAAATCTTTATTTTAAGCCGAAACTCATAAAATGTGAAATTAATATACAAAATAATAAAAAAAAATATACACTTGTATGTGTGTGTGTGTGTGTGTGTGTGTGTGTAGGTATATATATATATATATATATATATATACGTACACACCTATATATATATATATATATATACATACACACACACACACACAACTATATATTATATTTTGGGGGGGTGGGAATCTTATATATATATATATATATATATATATATACGTACACACACACACTCACTCACAGACACACACTCACAGACACACAAATTATTATTTTTTAATAAAAAAATGTCCACCCAGCCTCCCTACCTGGAGTGCTGGCGTGGACTTGTCCCTGGGGTCCAGTGGAGCGGGCACCTGTCTCCATCTCAGCCGCGGCGAGGGAGCTGTGTGCTCTCTGCTTCCTCTCGCCACGCGGGCTGTCTACAGAAGCTGGGAGCCGGAATATGACGTCCTATTCTGGCTCCCGGGATGAGCAAACGGCGCGCGGCGAGAGGAAGCAGAGAGCACACAGCTCCCTCACCGCGGCTGGAGACGGGGGGGGGATCCATCACCTCTTGCCCCCCCATGTCAGGGGCAACACGGGGCGAGGAAGAGGGGCATTTGGGGGCCCTGAGTGCCTACAGGAACAGTGTTCCTGCTCAAAAAAAGTGCAGGAACGCTGTTCCTGCAGGACTTAATCCATAGGCATGCCGCAGGGATTAGGGTGTGCCCAGGCACACCCGGCACACCCTGTGTGCACACCTATGCACCTAGTACCAATCATCATATAGTAAAGGGTTTCCAATTGCTTGGACTTGTGAGTGATCTCTCCCTGACAGTACGGCATGTTTGTCGGCACACTATGCATGATGGGAGTTGGGAGGTGTATCTCCACTTTAAACCCTGATTGTGTGAGACTAACAAATGTGTCAGATGTAATGCTGATGGGGAAGGGTCCTGCACCATAACCACTTCAATAAATTGCATTTGATATTGAGGTTAACCTACATGATGCAAAGTTAGATTTAGGAGGCAGGTTTTCAAAATCATAACCCATCCATGGAGCATAATCCCCTCTTCATATCAGCAGAGAAAATATTGTCAGTTAATGGAATGCCTTTAACCCCTTAAGGACACATGACGGAAATATTCCATCATGATTCCCTTTTATTCCAGAAGTTCTGTCCTTAAGGGGTTAATACATTCATCTACAACTAATTATTCAATCTGAGAAGACATTCGCGGATTTTAATTGTATCAAAACAAAAGTGGGCAATGCCAATATCATAACATATATAAAACCTTACATTTAGGTAGTTTGGGGATTTACATAATCACTTATTTTGGTTTAGATTATTTCCCAGCTGGTTACTATCACCATAATTATAGAAAGGGCATATTTAGAGGTGAAGTAGGCCCTGCTAAAACTTTTTAGCTTATTGCATGAAGCTGTAAATATTACCGAACAGGTAACAAAATGTTTTGACATATTGCGTATGATTGTGTGTTAAACCTTTTTTAGAAATCTAGTTGAATCATGCAGACACAAACAGCCCGTAACAAAGACATACACAAAAATACTTTTTAAGTAATTTTATAATTTCATTGTGGACTATTCAATGCAAAACTTTACAACAGTAAAGATAAACAAATCTACAATTTCACAACTCACATATGCAGTGTTATTCCCTAATATGTGAATTGCCAAGAATTCCAAGTGAATTTCAGATATTAGTCCAAAAATCTAAGAACACAATTTTTATTTAGATTTTTTTTTTTTTAATTCGGCTAAAATTGAAAAATTGCAAATAAAATATATTTTGATTATTTTTAGTGCATGGCGATGATAAAACAGAATAATTGAAACTGTGTTGATACACCTATTTCAAGACATTTCTTTACTTGTAATACAATACAAAAAGACATGTTATGTTGGATTTAGTTACAGTTTTCACGATTTTCTGGTTCCTTGTTTTTTAGGTACTTTGTCATTTACACTTCTATAAAGGTGTTACTTTGTCAGTTAACATTTTAAGATGTATAACTCCATAGACTTTTAATTGATGTACCTAATATCAGTTTATAAATATTCACTAGAAAGTACTTTTCTGTATATTATACAATAATTTCTTATAATTAAAACATATACAAATATTTTAAAATCGGGAGATAAAGGCTCTAAGAGGATTTTTTTACATTGTCATTCAAACCTTTTGAATATATATAAATGAAAAAAAAAAGTTGTGTATTTTGTTCTCATAGTACAGACATACAAAATGAATACAGAGAGTGCTTACGGGATCTTAAAGCGGTTCCAAATTTTTAGCAGAAGCATTTTGCAACAGGAAAATGCACAGACACAAAATTGGTTTGACTTAGGACTAGTTAGCTACTGTAAGATTACAGGAATGACTTTGTTAAAATATTCCAATATGAATTAAAGGTATTCTGGAAAACATACTAAATAAGCTCTTCTAGATAAAGCAAAACTGGAAAAATGTTGGTCAAAAATGAAAAATGAGTAAGCCTCACCTATTGCATGATCTGTTCTCTCTCTGAATTTTAGACGGTAGCCATATTTGATTTTGGTGACATTATGTGTTAGAGTACAGCAGTAGGATGTGTAATGTTTGTTTACATAGGAATTTTTAAAAAGATTGAAACAGCTGACAAAGTGAAATGTATTGACTATTATACACAAGACCTTTCACCTTTTGGTTAATATATATTTTCAAAAAGAATCGATAAAAATCCCTCTTTGACTGAAAGTCATTACTGTATAATTGATGGGTAGTAGCATGCATTGGATACACAGAATGAGTTCTGATTATCGGTTGATGTTGTATGGAACAGTAAACATATCATAAAAGTGTGGATGACGTGATAAATAGCATAATAAATCACAAAATAGGAGTCTGGGCATGTTCAGAACATTTTTGTGGAAAGGTCAGATGGAAATGTTTCCAGTGTATTAAATATCGAAAAGAGACAGAGAGGTGGAATGGGAAGGAGGGAAGGCATTTGGAAGAGTGAACGTTTGCTGAGGCAATGTATAAGAATGGAATGGGCAAATGTAGTTGTTTTTAGACATTTCCCCATAGCGGTATTTTTCAAAATTAAATTATTTGTGGCTGTTTCGCATTATTTTCTTGAATTTTACATTTTTTGCATATGTACCTTTTTATGATACTGCACAATTGTCTAAATCCTTCTTTTGTTTTTGTGTTTTTTTAGCTTTTCATTTTGTTTTGCATTCTATGCTATGCAGTTGGTTTATAATACAAATAATAATCTAGAAACCAATTGCCAAATCCAAATAACCCCATCATTGCCAAGTCATATTCATTTTTTAAGAATTAGGATAAGTATTTGAAACTTGGGATGCACAGGTAGCACATAAACTGAAAGAATTTAAAAATACAAATTACACACATTTACAACACATTTATTTTTTTTAATTAGTAATTCAGTCTTTTGGGATTTTTCATTTTGCTAGAAAGGAGGCATTTTAACTGCCACACCTCAGTGTAGTGCCCATAGCATGTCCCCTGTCCGGCTGATTCTGTGTGGCAGTGATAGACTAAGAACATTGGAGTTGGGTTCTATACAGGTATTTTAGATATTATATAATAGTGTTTCTCTTGCAATATTATTTATCATTAGTCAAGGTCTGACATACTAAAGAAGAATAACTTTTGTCTCACTTAGCAGAGGTAACAAAAATAGACTTAAAGGAACAATCAAGGCACCATAACAACTACATCATGTAAGAGAACCAGATATGCCCTAGCACCCACTGTTTAGTAACGGACTTCTTACCTGTTCCACAGCTACTCAATGCCAGAAGGAGAGCCGGTTAGTTCCTAAGCAGGAGTTTCTACTAGCACTCCATACACCCTACAGTAGAGAGCCAGCTCACTGGCTCAGAAAATCAGCTGACCACTCTCAGCCAATGAGCAAAGCGCTGCATTGCTTAAATAGTTTGACTCCTTACACTAGGGGGAAGTCAAGACACTCTTGGCACCATACAACACATTGTTGTGGTCATGGTGGTTGGAGTGCTCCTTTAAATATTGCTAATACAACCAGCATAAGACTGAAAAGTATCATTTAAAAAATCTGAACTGTAAACATTTCATTTTTACAATTTTGTGAGCTCTACTATTTTTTAATTTTTTTTTTTTAAGAAATCTTCTCGTTTACCGGACCTCTTAATAAAAGTTATTTTATTTCTGTCTGTTTTGAATTCACACTTATCCACACCAGCCAAATGAGCAACATAGCTGTGTATTTTCTTAATTTATTAAATATTTTAGAGTTTACAAAGGCCTGCTTGGGCACTGCCACCTTTTTTTAATTAAATCACACATGGCAGAAATGCTTAACATTGCTTAGAGATCCTCTTATCTAACACATTGAAAACATTAAAACAACTCGTGACTATAATTGTTAATTAGCAAGCCTGCTCTTTTGTTTTAATTAGCCTAGAAAAAAAAATCATGTCTGCTAGATGTGGCACTGTTACACGTGTACAGCCATCTTCTGTCACATAAATACGTGCCCACTCCTAATAAGTGCAACATAAGCACAATCTGTTTGTGCTATTTGCTTAAGTCCATTCATTGCCATTCGGTTTGTACAAACAGGGATATACACATTGTTAAATAGCTCCCTACAGAAGCGTGTTAGCATACATGGCTTGGTCATATCGTTGGAATTAAATCGGGTTGTTGGCAGCGCCTGCCAAATACTTCCATTGTTCACTAAATTAACTAAATATTTGGGTGAACGCTGTGAAAGACATTGTAGGAAAATATTTGGACTAACCGCGCTGCCTTTGTTTCAGATGTATTTGCCAGGTTTTTTGGCACTGGTATAATTTTTTTATATCTCATTAGTAAACAAATCTACCCAAAAAAAAACAAAAAACATTGTTTCCAACTGCACTGCTTCCTCCTTTGTAGAACAGCTGATAGCAAATGTTGTGACAGAATGATGAAGGACAGTGCCTTGCGGTACCAAGTAGTAAACGTTAACCCACTACAGTGCTGCTTCAATTCTGGTTCAAAGATTAAAATACCTGTTTTGAAACATTATAGATTCTATCAGATTCTGTTTTCACATGTATCTTGATTTTAGAATGGTGGGGAATTAAAGCAGAACTCTTTAGACCAT